TGTGCCATCAACTTTTCTCATGTGCTTCTAGAGAGCCAATTAATTAATTCACTTACTGACAGGGTAGTCAAATCCTTAGTTCCTTCTATAGTGGTGACAATAGGATTGTATTTTCTAGTAAGTGAAACCAATATTTTTTCTACAACCCTTTGGTCAGTAATTTCATCTCCATAGGCTCTCATTTTATTGACTAGTTCTTTTAATTTTCCACAATATTCTTGAACAATCTCATTTATTTTCATTTTAGAATTCTCAAATTCCCTTCTCAGTGTTTGAAGCCGAATAGTGCGTACCTTTTCTGATCCTTGGAATTCTTCTCGCAGTATCTCCCAAGCCTTCTTTGCCATCTTTGCTCCAATTATCCTCGGAAATACTGTTTCCGAGAGTGCTTGCTGAATAACACATAACGCCCTTGCGTCCTTTTGTAGTTGATCCTTCAGAACGCTTGCACCTTCTTGCGGAGCCTCATAACCCTTTTCTACGATGTCCCACAAATCTTGGGCCATCAAGAAAGTAGTCATTTTAATGCTCCAATAGTCATAGTTATTCCCATCGAAAATAGGAATGGGAAATGAGGATGAGGCAGCGTTAGCCATAGGTTAGTTGTTGGATAGTTGGATGGGTAGTTTTAGGACCGGGTGGTTCGGACAAACGCCCAATACCAACAAAAAACGTAGCTCTGATACCACAGTTGGTGTATGCGGAAGCGTGAATTAATTTTTGGTGAGTGTGTGCAAGTGGATGTGCGTGAGTTCTTCATGCAACAATCAGGCAAATGGACAAAGGTTGACAGGAATTGGCAAGGGAATGAAGGTACAAAGGAAATGTTTATTAAATAGTTTCAGTATTACAAGAGGAGGACGTGTGTGCGTGTGATAGTTGACACACTAATTGTTATTTCCCAGGCTGATCGTCCTTCCCTATTTATAGGCAAATTTCACCGACTATGGAGCTAACAATTTTAGACTTTTTACAGATTTTTTGTCCTACAATTTTTTACTTCAACAACGGACTCTTCAAGATTTTTTTTCTGCAAATATTGACAATTTAGCCACCGCCTAAGACTTTTGCAGCTAGCTTTTCTTGCGTCCTACGTTGGACTAGAGAATTCTAGACAAAAATAGGCCAACAATTCAACAATTCTGCTTTCTCACTCTTCACCTTGACACCACAAAGCCCCAATTTTCAGCCCACATAAATACGGGAGTAATCGGACTTTGACACTAGTACAATAGTATCCTTCAATATGTTTGGCTTTTTATGCTTGTGTTATGGTAATGTTTCTCCATGCACTCCAAGTTTTACAAGGACCTAGTTTTTCCTTTGTCATTGATTTCCTTTATCTTTCATCTCTAGCTGAAGCTTTATATTGTTATCAAGACTTAACTGATTTTTTTTCTACACCACTAGTAATTAAATGCTTTTTAATTGCTAAATGATGTGTTTTTGAGGTATAACTTAAAAATAATTATAGTTTGTGCGTAAAGTACATGAGGAACTGACTCAATCAAATAATCTTGCTTAGCTATCTGACTGGAAACCAATTGACTGGAGCAATCCCCGATTGGATCCTGGACAGTGGAGACAATGTGTAAGCTTTGCTGCCTGAAGAAAATGTCTGTTTAATTATGAATTTGCTTCTAGCTCTATCCTGCTAAAATTGTCCTGCGATTAGCAACTATGCATTCCCATCTTGCATCTTTATGGATTATAGCCTATGGAGATAAATGGAAACATCATAACTACCTTACTCCTTGTTGGGATCTGTTAATTGGAAAGTTATATGTAAGACGAGACTGAATTGTATGGTACACATGAAAGAGTATAAAGTGGATTTTCTTGGAAGTGCCAAGTTTGCCCCACTTTCGCCTATACAAAAAGCTGTTCCCAGCTCTAGATCTTTTTCAAACCTCTTGGAAGGATACTCTTTGAAAGTTTGTCTAACGCATCACCCGCACAATATGATTAGTTGCTTGGGCTATTGATTGCTGATAACAATGTTTCTGTGGGTTTGTGTAATTGAGAAACTCCGCAACCATAATGAATGTATCCAGGAGAAAGTTGATATTATTTTATGGACGTAAGAACGAAGTTCTTATGAGGTAGTTTTGACATTTAAATTGTGGTGTGGATTTTTTCTTATAAGAAGATGCGACTTAGAAGCCATTGGAATCACAGTTCTATTATTGCCTCTTTGTATTATATGTCATGACTGTTATACTCTCACAGGGTAAAAATGTATCTATGCACTCCAACTAGTTCTAAAGTCTCTGTTCACTTCAATTAGTCTTTCTCCTTTTAATAATTTAAGATAAGATATCTTCAATTAAGATAAAATATTACTTACTCACCTTGTCATGTTTTCATCTTTCAACTTGCCTTGCCTGTCCATATGTTGCAAACGGTCTACATCTTTGTACATAATAGTTATTTGATGGAATGACTTTCAGTGTATTCTTCAAATTGATGAGATTTTTTAAACGGTTGACTATTTCTCTGTGTAGTGATCTATCATACAACTCCTTCACTGCTGGAGGTTCAGAATGTCAAAACAAATCTGTGTATGTACTACTTCCTTCAGTCTAAGTCTGGGGATCCCCTCAAATGCGCAGTTATGAGTTGCTTATAATCCTGTATGTGAACACAATATCCATTTCTCTACTGAATGTTGATTTTGCCTTTTCTCTACAGCAACTTGTTTGCAGGCTCGGCACTTAATAATATGTATGTCTACGATTAAACTTTTCACAAAGAGACTTGGATTTTCCAAGGACCTGCATTTTAATTGTCTATGTATGTAGCATTTAACTTCATTCAGAATGATGATGGTTATAACATTAAAATCTTTGCTGACTTGCTCAGAACCTTATATTCTGCCTCAAGTGGACTTGTCTCATGTTTGAAAAATCACCATTGTACAAAAAGTAAGTTGATCTGCTGTATATCCTATCATTATCATCAGATCCTGATATTGCATCATACTCTATGTCTTTTCTCATCAAATTTATCTCCTTGTCAACTCTCCTATTGGTTATTGTGTCAATCTTTGTTATTTAATGCATAATTGCTCTAAAAATTTCAAAAGCCGCCTCTGTGAAATAATGTGGTGCTCATAAACTCGGGAGTTTCTATGTAATTTTTCAAAAGGGAATGCTTGTTTATTTAGTGTGTCTGGGCTCCAAAAAAAAAAAAAAACTTGATTTTTCTGTGACTATTTCTTTACTCCAACCAGGTCAGCATAACCTCTTCATAAATTGTGGTGGGAGCGAAGTAAAAATAGGAGACAACAAATACAATGGTGATATAGCGCAGCCTACACCTTCAAGTTTCTTCCTGGGGGATAACTGGGCCTACAGTAGCACTGGTCACTTCCTTGATGACTCCAGGAATATAGATAACTATATAGTTGAAAATGCATCCAGACTGTCCATGAATAATGCCCAACTTTATATGAACGCACGATGTTCTCCTATCTCTCTAACTTATTATGGTTTTTGTCTGATGAATGGACCCTACAATGTAAGCCTTCATTTTGCGGAGATAGTGTTCACAGGCGACAAAACTTATAGCAGCCTTGGAAGGCGAGTTTTTAATGTTTATATACAGGTAACTTTTGGGCATTATGTAGTGCCGGTTCTAATATGTAAAGCATATAAATCATTCAATATGTTATGGTTGGGAAGTTTATCTAAATATCTCATATTTGCAAATCATTATCTTTTTACAATTTGTACATTCTATTGAGACTGAAAGTTTCACTTTGTTCTGTATGGAGACACTCAACTTGAACCAGATTAATAACATCATTTCAGGGAAAATTGGTGCTGGAAGATTTCAACATTGAGATTCACGCAGGTGGAGTCGGAAAGGCGGTCATAAAAAATTTTAGCGCCACAGTGTCCAATGGCACTCTGGAGATACGCTTCTATTGGGCTGGGAAAGGAACCCAAAATATACCTACCAGAGGATTCTATGGTCCCCTTATATCTGCTATCTCCGTCAATCCTAGTATGCAGACAGACACTTCCATGTTTCACTTTGTGCTTCTCCGTTGAGAAAGTTACTCATATTCATGTTGAACAAAATACCCTATCTTGTCTTTCACCAGAAGTCATCAATAGGATGTTCAGTTACTTGGTTTGGTTGCAAATGGCCACTGTTGGGTTCAGGTCATTGGCTTATGTTACAGTAGATCAGATCAATTTCCACAGTAGCTGACTAGGATCTATAATTTTTCTCTTAAGAGGCGAAAATTGGTCAGATTTTGCTTTGTTTTCTTTCTATCTGAGCATGTTTTCTCTGTGTATCTTCAATCCTTCTATTCAGACTATGAAATGATAGCCTCGTTTGCTTTTCTGCTATGGATAATGACCATTGCACCTGTATTATATAGTACAGCCTCGAGAATGAAAAGTAGATTATTTTTTTCTTTTTCGTAATCCCTTTGTATTTAGTATTCGTGTTCCAAAGATGATACTTCCTGTGCTCATTTTTATCTTATAGTTTCTGTAGAGTATTCTGAGCGGTTTTCATTTTTTTTTTTTTATTCTCAATTAGTGTGCTGTCCCATCTATTGTTTTCTGTGTTCACTAAGAAGATACAGATATTTTTATGCATTTATGTCTACCCCATTTAACCAAATAGTTTTGCGTAAATATTTGTGTTCTTTCTTCATCAGACTTTGAACCCCCAGAAGAGCCGGCCAGCTCACGAGAGTCAGCCAGCATATCTGCTGGCACAGTGGTCGGGATTGTGGCTGCTGTAGTTTTTATTTTTTTCCTTATCCTGGTTTTCCTTTGGTGGAGAGGATGTCTTGGACGCGAAGATAAAATGGCACAAGGTAGTTGCTTACCTGGAATCTCTGTTATTTAGTTCACATATAACTGTCAAGAAATATGAGAATGTTATGCACTCTGAATACATTTTCCCCTTTCCATATTCTGGTGGGGGAGAGGGGTAATCACATTGCATCATTTATATTTCAGCTTGATCACACAGTTGTGACTCTACTTCTTCTTCTTTCCTTTTCTGGTGGGTGAAGAGGTAATCACAATGCATCATTAATACTGCGACTAGATTACGCAGTTCATAGATTCATTTGGTTCACCCAATGGATGGCATTTGTGCTTTCCACTTGGAATTCCATTTGACACAAAGAGATAATAAATTATTATTAGGCCATAATAGAGCTAAAGTATCATAGATCCATTTGGTTCACCCAACGAAGGGATAGATAGTTATAGGGAGAGAATGTTAAATTGTTTCTCAGATGTGTGTACATATAAACCGGGCCCTCCTTGGGGGCACACTTGGCCAAATATATACTAAGTCTATGTTTCAAGACATTGAAACTAAAGGCCGGATCTTCGCATATATGAGACATTGAAACATACAAACCTTGCCTTGCATTTCCAAAGTGGGCTTTTTCTATGATTTTTTCTTTTCCTTCACTGCTAAATACCCTGAAGACATTCTCATTTTACTTTCCATAGTACATACTGCCAACCAATGCCAGACTTTCCTAGAAAATCAGTTTGAGGATGCTAAGATATTCAGTACTGAACTTGCTCAGATAACAATATTTCTGGTACAATTGAGAAGGAATTGCTACGTCTTTGTTAGATAGTGGATTACAAACTTAAACGTGGTGCAGATTTGAAGGGTCTAGAGTTGCAAATTGGTTCATTTACCTTGCGACAGATTAAAGCTGCCACAAACAATTTTGATGCTGCCAATAAGATTGGAGAAGGTGGTTTTGGTTCTGTGTACAAGGTATATAGGAAAATCCGTGCCCAACTTCCCCCAATTCCCAACAGAAAAGATCTGTAGAAAGCAGCAATCAATGTAACTGAATCTTCACAGCATAGATCTGATGCCAAAGTTCAATTGCAGGGTCTTCTGTCAGATGGCACCACTATAGCAGTGAAGCAGCTTTCATCCAAATCCAAGCAAGGAAATCGTGAGTTTGTGACTGAGATTGGGATGATTTCTGCTCTTCAACATCCACATCTTGTGAAACTCTATGGATGCTGCATCGAAGGAAATCAACTTTTGCTGGTTTACGAGTACATGGAAAATAACAGTCTTGCTCGTGCTTTATTTGGTAATTTGATATCACACTGTTCTTCACTGACTTCAACTAATGACACGGGAATAAAGTAGTTTTGATGTCTTTTGATACAATTGAAGGTCCTGAAGAATTTCAGTTAAAGTTGGACTGGAGGACAAGACACAAGATATGCGTGGGCATTGCCAGGGGCTTGGCATATCTTCATGAAGAATCGAGGCTGAAGATTGTGCATAGAGACATCAAAGCTACTAATGTTTTACTGGATAAGGATCTCAACCCTAAAATATCAGATTTTGGTTTAGCAAAGCTTGATGACGAGGACAACACACATATCAGTACCAAGATTGCTGGAACTTAGTAAGTTTCATGCTTTATGTTCCTGTTAACCTAATTTGGAGCCAGTGACAACATAAAAGCATGGAATAGAAACATTTAGTCTGATTTAAGAAAAGTGAGTTGAATGGAGCTTTGCGTTTGATTCATATCATTCCAAAGCACGGTACTCAACAAATGTAGCTTAACCACAAAGCTTTATGCCTGTCCCACCACTCTTCACGTTAATTAGGAAACAATGTTAATTATGTCACATAACCTACCATTAAGTAATGATACTCTGATATTGATTATTGACTCATGTATTTGTTAATTTGAATATAACTTAGTATTATAGGCAATAGAGCTAATTCGGGAAAAGTGCCAAAAAAGTCCTAAACCTTTTGCATTAGTGCCAATTTAGTCCTAAACCTTTTTTTGGTGTCAATTCAGTCATAAACCTTTTGCATTGGTGCCAATTTAGTCCTAAACCTTTTTTTGGTGCCAATTCAGTCCTAAACCTTTTAAATTGATGCCAATTCGGTCCTAAACCTTTTATTTTTGTGCCAATTTAGTCCTTCCGGCCAATTTTGACCGAATTTGCCGACGTGGACGCCTGTCGCGGTCACGCTATTGACGTGGAGCCGACGTGGACAACTTTAATATTATTTTAATATTTTTTTTGAAATTTTTTTTTCCTTTTTTTTCTTTTTTTTTCCTTTTTTTTTTTGGTCTCTCCCTCCTCCCTCTGGCCGGTCGCCGGTCCGGCGACCGGCCAGAGGCCAGAGGCTGGCGAGCTCGACCTCGCCGGCCACTGGGAAGGGCGGCCTCGCCCGGCGAGGGCGGGCCTCGCCTTGGTCGGGCGAGGCTCGACCTCGCAAATCCCGGCGAGGTCGGGCCCCGCCCGACCATGTCGAGGCTCGAGCCCTCGCCGGAGGCCGCGGCGAGGGCGAGCCTTGCCATGGTCGGGCCGGGCCCGACCTCACCGCGGCCTCCACGAGGGCTCGAGCCTCGCCTTGGTCGGGCGAGGCCCGACCTCGCCGGATCCGGCGAGGTCGCCGGGCGAGGCTCGACCACGCCGATCCGGCGAGGTCGGGCCTCGCCCGACAATGGCGAGGCTCGCCCTCGCCGCGGCCTCCAGCGAGGGCTTGAGCCTCGCCTTGGTCGGGCGAGGCTCGACCTCGCCAGATCTGGGAGGTCGAGCCTCGCCCGACCAAGGCGAGGCTCGCCCTCGCCAGTGGCCGGCGAGGTCGAGCTCGCCGGCCTCTGGCCTCTGGCCGGTCGCCGGACCGGCGACCTGCCAGAGGGAGGAGGGAGAGATCAAAAAAAAAATTGAAAAAAAAAAGATAAAAAAGGAAAAAAAATAAAAATTCAAAAAAATATTAAAATAATATTAAAGTTATCCACGTCGGCGCCACGTCAGCGCCGGTGACCGGCCGGCAGGCGTCCACGTCGGCAAATTCCGGTCAAAATTGGCCGGAAGGACTAAATTGACACAAAAATAAAAGGTTTAGGACTGAATTGGCACCAAAAAAAGGTTTAGGACTAAATTGGCACCAATGCAAAAGATTTAGGACTGAATTGGCACCAAAAAAAAGTTTAGGACTAAATTGGCACTAATGCAAAAGGTTTAGGACTTTTTTGGTACTTTTCCCGAGCTAATTCCCCTACGTTTCTGTTGTCTACACGCGGAAAAACATAAATAAGCATGTTCACATGTTTTAGACGTTTGCGTTGGCATGTGTGAAAAGTCAACTTGTCGATGAAAAGAATGTGATTAATTAGGGAAAAGATAAAACTGTAAGTTCGTTCTACAAACTCTAACATTAATTCAACAAAGAAGAACTATAGCATTAACAAATTTCCGTTATCTCAACAAACTTAGATAATCTAATACAATTTCTGGAAAGTTCATATCCTCCTACGCGAGATTTTACTCAAAAAGATTGATAATATCCTACCTGCTCCATTTACTACATAAGAACAATTCAAGATAAACATTGCTTATGTTAATTCAATGTGCCCCCTAATGTGTTCACTCGGACAAAAAGCTTGTGAAATTATTATGATACAATTATGATGCAATTCATTTTAACAACCTATATACGTAATTTAATTGTTTTTATTATGTTAACCCAATGACAATCAACTTAATGCAAAACAATTTAATGAACAACGACAACTACTGTATGTTAAAAATTTCAATATATATAATCTATATATCCTCCTTTGCATGAAAAACACAATTTTTAGTAAATATGTGTCACATGACATTGACATAGATGATGCACTTTCAAGTGAATTACTAAAAACTAAAACCAAAATATACAAAGCAAGCACGATGACAACAAAACTAAGAAGCTTTTCTGCCCCTAGGCTTGGCTTTAGCAATCCTCATACGGCTGCTGCCCATGTATTCACAGACCTTGGCTCAGCCTGTTTCCAACTCTTTTTTCGGTCGGAGAGCCTCTTTTCCAAGTTCTAAAGTCATATTTGTACCATGATAATTATATAGAACAACAATGGTCTTTTTTCTTTTTTTTGAAATATTCTCGGTAAATTCAATCAAAAAAAATTTTTTGCGATGCCCTTGTTTTTTCCTCTACTCTTGAGACCATAGCGTCACATTTAGGAATATATCTTTCTTTCGTATTTTAGGAATATTAAGTATGTGCTATTTTAGACAGTTACCTTGTTGCAAACACAAGCTCTTTTCTTGTTGTGCAGTGGATATATGGCACCGGAGTACGCAATGCATGGTTACCTCACTGACAAAGCTGACATCTATAGTTTTGGCGTGGTTGCCTTAGAAGTTGTTAGTGGCTGGAGCAACACTAGTTCCCAAAAAAAGGAGGAATGCTTTTATCTACTCGATTGGGTAATCAACTCTAGCATTCAAAAGTTGTCGATCATGATCATATCCATATTTAAATCTCTGCTTGTGCCGGTGGAAGGATGGATTAAAGAAGCGTGAGCATAGTATATAACTCCTCATATGTACTTTTAATGATTGCGAAGGAGCGTTTCAGTTATTAGCTATTGAAAACTGTTTAACGAATTTCAATGCCGTTAAGTGCAATTAGTCATTTCAAATTAATTTAATTCTTCTTATTATGTTGGTCTACGCTGAATTTGAAAGGAGAAAGTAATCCTTGCAATAGCCAGTCTATAGTGTTAATGCTCAAGACGTGCGACTTGGGGTGGGGGCAGTAACGGGTTAGTTTGGTTCTAAGAAATTGAAACTGTAACCTACATGGTGACACATTGAAACTCGAAACAGGGGCCTGCCTCCTGACCGAAGGAATCATGTAGATTTGTTTTTTGTTTTTTTTTTGGATTTGAAGAAAATTCTATTCCTTGAAATTTGGGGTCAAATTTTGGGGTAGTTCGGTTTTAGTCTTTATGTTTTTATGCTTGACATTCATACTCCCTGTACTTTCATTAGCGCCAAACAAGTCCTTCAACTACTATTGAATTCTGGCAATTACTGTTAAATTAAAAAGTTTCAAGACCATGTCTTGACCCAAATATCCATGAACTTTCGATTGAGGATAACTTTTTTCACATTCATATAATTGATTCCTTAAGTTAGATTTTGTTTTTCTTTGAGTATGCCAATCATTAGCAAAAACAATCATTAG